ATGTGGAGCGTAGACCAGGCCTGTGTGACTCAGCTGGAGGGCTGAGTTGTGGAAGACCCATCTGGCAAGCACAATGGCCAACTGGGAGCTCCATGAGCTGAGAAATGAAGGAAAAACTGCACACATGCATACACTGACCAATGGCCATTGCCATTATAGAAATGCTTAGATTTGTGGGCCAAAAGGGGCCACTATGACAACAGGAATTCATTTTGTAATTTCTGCATCAAGCCCATCATTTCCATTTTGGTTACAGAATATTCTAATATTCATTAGTCTTGATTTAGAGATTCCGTATGACAGAGAATCTACCACACCCCTATGTAAATCTGCCACATCCCTATGTTCAATGGGTAATTACAGTCACTGGTAAAAAATTATACCTGATTTCTTGTCTGAATTATTTTAGTTTCAGCTTCTCTCCATTCACACTTAGGCTTTGTCTACACTAAGACTTTTGCTGGAAGAGGCAATGCAAATGAAGCACTGATTAGCATTTTGTCATGCTTCATTTACATAATCTATTCCGAGCTGTTTTTGCGCAAGAGGGTTTTGTACAAAAACAAGCAGCGTGGACATTTTCTTTTTGCACAAAAACTCCTTTTTGCACAAGATCCTTATGCCTCCTTCTCTTTGATAAGGTAAATATGTAGAGTTTCTTTAGTCTTTAACTATAAACCAGATTTTCCAGACTCAAATAATCCTCCTGTTTTCTGAAGCCTTTCCCATTTTTCAAAATTGCATTTTAAAGTGTGGGCGCCAGAATTGGACACAGTAGCCAGTCCCTTTTCATGCAACACTGTAGCTGAAAGGGTTATACCTGATCCTTAGGGCTACGTCTAGATTGCATCCCTTTTTCGTAAAAGGGATGCAAATTAGACATATCGCAATTGCTAGTGAAGCAGGGATTTAAATCTCCCCCGCTTCATTAGCATAAAAATGGCTGCCGCTTTTTTTCGGCACGGAGTTTGCTGGAAGAACGCGCCAGTCTAGATGCGGATCTTTCGGAAAATAAAGTCTTTTCCGAAAGATCTCTTATCCCTTATTTTAAGAGGGATAAGGGATATTTCGGAAAAGGCTTTATTTTCCAAAACATCTGCGTTTAGACTGGCGCTTTTTTCCGGCAAAGCTCCGTGCCGAAAAAAAGCGGCAGCCATTTTTATGCTAATGAAGCGGGGGAGATTTAAATCCCCACTTCATTAGCAATTGCGATAAAGGGATGCAATCTAGACGTAGCCCTAAGGATCAGGTATAACCCTTTCAGCTACAGTGTTGCATGAAAAGCACATGTACAGTTGCTTATTCCTTAAGACCTTTGCAAAGTCACTGCTATTCAGGATATCACCTCCATTGTTTAAGTGTGACCTACAGTTTTTGTTTCAGATGCATTTTAGGGCTAGTGGAAAAATTTCTATTAAAACTTTTTTTAGACAGAAAACTGAAGTTTTGAAGAAAGAAACAAACCAATCCATGTCTATCTTAGAAATTTGTGATTTTTTTCATTAGAAAAACAAAAACTGCCAAAACCCAGTTTTTCCTCTTTTGTTTTTTCCACCAACAAAGTAGACTTATTGGAGTGCAGGCGAGGGGTCCTAAGTCCATTACATATATAGTCTCTAACTACCAAACTGTCTGGCTACCAAAGACTACTGATGTACTCAGGTGCCTTCGTATCTTATCTGAATCTGTGGTTTTTGGAGGCTCTCTTGAAGTCTATTATGCTATCCTTGCAGAGTTGGCATAATATACTGAGGGAGCACATTCAAATGCATGCAGCCAAATGTTTATCAAGAGCAAGAGACCTGCCAGGACGCCGCATCAGTAAATCTTGAATATACTACATCATTGTCCTGACCTACTACATCATTGTAAACTGAATGACATCCAGCTTCCTTCCAAATAAAAACAGAAAACTGTAGTGAACACTTCAGTCTTATTTGCATCATTTTTGGCAGTTTTAACATCCCTATATATTAATGGATCGACACTTCCTTGCTAACTCTGAATGTGAATATCTTTTATTCCTGATATAGATATATATAAATTCCTCATTGTCTCCTGATCATACTTTTTTTTCACCAATAGCTTCCCTTTAGCTTTCGTTATCATTTGTGTTCATTTCATAACTGCTCAGTTATAGTCTGTCAACATCTCCTGTTTTTCATTTCCCATATGATTTTTTTAAATCACAGCTTTCACTTTTCTAAGCAGGATTATTTAACTGAAGAACATTTTGTATAGATGAGGAATGGTTTGGGCCAGTAGTTCTCAACCAGTGGTACGAGTACCCTTAGGGATACTTGAGAGAAGTCTGGGGGGGCTAAGTCAACACAACAGAAATTTGGAGATAATCTGAATTTTTGTTTTAAGTTTTACAGTGTTTTATTATTTTTGTACTTTTTACACCCAAAAATTTCATTGTCTTCCCAGCTACAATTAAGTTGTTTAAACAAATGCGTTGCAATGGTAGAAACTTTTTGTGTGTGTCTGAAAACTGTAGGTACTGGGAGTACTTACAATTTTTTTTGGGGGGGAAGGGGTACTTTGTAAAAAAGGTGGCCATCTAGCAAAGATTTCTTAAACTTTGTTTTACAACAAAACCCCACTAATTAATCTTCTGCTATTCCATTCTATGACCAGTTTGTCAAGATGGGCCAGGCCCAGTGAATCCAAACCACCACTAAGGTTGCCAGGTGTCCAGTATTGACCTGAACAGTCTGGTATTTTTGCCTTCTGTCCAGTAAAAAAATCAGAAAATACCGGACACCTAAAATGTCCGGTATTTTGTGTGGGGGGGGTGTCCCTGCAGGAGGTGAAAATACTGGACACCTGGCAACCCTACGACACACTTAGCAACCGGGCCCATCCCCCGATCCCCTGCTTACGTGGATCTACAGGGAAGCTGCTTTCTGGCTCAACTAAGAAAACAAGATGGATACCGGCAAAAAGCCTAAAGACCTGTGCAAGGGGAAGCAATGCCTTCCCTGGGTCTTACTGCTCAACTTCTTCCTAAACCTATTCTGACTCTGCATGCACTTAAAGGGGGCATGTTGTTTTAATGCTGTTTTGTTTTGTTTTGTTTTGTTTTATTTATTTATTTATTTATTTATTTATTTATGCTTAATAACTCTTGGGAGTCCCTTTTTTATCTTTTGCTCTACAACTTTGGTCTCCCCTTTTTTTCCTCAACAGAATTTTTTCCCCGGTATTTTTTTTTTGCGGGGGGGTGGTGTGTGTTGGTATTTTTCGTTAAACCATCTGGCAACCCTAACCACCATACCTCTCCCACTGGTTATGCAAGGCCCACAGAAAGAGACCAGTGACTACTGGATTATAAGGTCTGCACCAGTGTAGTGTACCATTGCTTAAAACTCAGTGGGCTCGTCTACATTGGCCCCTTTTCCGGAAGGTGCATGGTAATTTTTGAAATCGCAATTGGGAAATGCGCGGGGGATTTAAATATCCCCCGCGGCATTTAAATAAAAATGTCCGCCGCTTTTTTCCAGCTTTTAGAAAAGCCGGAAAAGAGCGTCTACACTGGCCCCGATCCTCCGGAAAAAAAGCCCTTTTCCGGAGGATCTTATTCCTACTTTGAAGCACCTGGTCTAGATGGTGCTTGGTCCTGCCATGAGTGCAGGAACCAGGTCTTGATCATCCCTCAAGGTCCCTTCCAGTCAAATGATTCTATGAAGCAAAATTTCCCCTAATGCTGGGGTGAGGGGAGGAATTGTGACCTGTTAGCATGTGTCTGGAGCCCTGGAGCTGCAGGAATGGTATCCCAATGGTGTGTGGTTGGGGGCCTTAGTAAGCAATTCAGTTCCTGGATTATCAAACTGGAGTAAAGCTCAGTCCAGTTGAGGCAGCCCTTGACCACAGCATGCAATGTCTCAAAAGTAAAAGAGATTCCACATGTGGGAGGGGACATAGCTGCCTCCAGGAGGGACCCCTGTGCATTGCTGTGGGGCGGTACCTTCCAGAGTCAGTACATGCACCGAGGTGCCCAGCATAGAAAGATATGCTTTGTGGATATCTGTCTTTTTGTGCCTATGTATTTCTAGGAGTCATTAGTCACTTGGAACTAAAGTTAAACCAAGTCTTAAGCTTCTGAAAGGATTTAACCAGATAGCTGATTCTTCTGCAGTAAAAGATCAAGTGTACATTTTCCAAAAACCCTCCTAAATTAATTTAGAAATCAAAGTTTATATATATATATATATATATAGGCTTCCAAGTCACTTAGATGCTATTGTAAATATTGCCTCAAATGAATCAGCTTTTGGTATTGGTTAAGATAGAAATGATCAGTCAGTGGAGGGATCACAAAAAAGCAATTCAGGGATCCTGAGGTGTTGAAAATGTTATTGCCACCTAAAGCAAAGACAGTTTCACTCCCTGCACCCCCTCACCTGTTAAGGTCCAGTGCTTTGGCATACTCTTGAAGTAGCCACCTATCCGTTCTGTAGAATGAATCAGCTTTTGGTATTGGTTAAGATAGAAATGATCAGTCAGTGGAGGGATCACAAAAAAGCAATTCAGGGATCCTGAGGTGTTGAAAATGTTATTGCCACCTAAAGCAAAGACAGTTTCACTCCCTGCACCCCCTCACCTGTTAAGGTCCAGTGCTTTGGCATACTCTTGAAGTAGCCACCTATCCGTTCTGTAGGCCAATTACTGTTGGCAGTGATCCATTTTTACTCTGATTTTTATACTAAATATCAAGGGGATGGGTTGTGACAGCTGGCACGAGGGGTCACCACCTGAAAAGGTGAGAAACAGGGTCTAAGCCAGAGGATGCTTTTGTGGAGTGAATGATGCACCAGCAGGAGCCAGGTGGGTCTTGGGGTTAAGGTAAGGGAGACTGGCCAAAGGAAACCAGTGTCTAGCTTTGGCTCTGAGTCTGTCACAGATCTCCTGTGAGCAGCGCTTTCCACTTCAGTCTCTCTGTCCTTTGGCTGTGAGTTCCTTGGAGCAGGGACTTTCCTTCCCGTTGGAAAATGCCAAGTGTGGCGTGCAAGTGCCAATGACTGATTCACATCCTTGATTTCCTCCAGCTAGCAGGAGGTCTGAGTGAACAGGTTTGCAAATGCTGGCCTTCATCTCTGTCTCGGCTCCCCAGTTGCAAAGGAGGGAGAGGGGGGAAGGGGAGAGAGGCGGGGGGAGGGG